TAGCTCAACTAACCTTTCCTCGTATGACAAGTATGTGGCAGATGGATAACTGAGCTAAAATACAGTTCAGTACTTACTGTATGCCATTCAAAAGACAAAAATGACTGAATTGAATGTGTTTACAAATACAGCCTAAGTGTTAAAGGGGTGTTATCACCACAAAGTGATGAGCCCACTCATTCTCCTCACTGTGCCTTATTACCAGTGACTTATGGTCCTGACAAAATGACAGTCTTGCTGTTTTACCATCTCTCTGTGCCATGACTCCTGGTACAAGTGTTACACAAACTGATAATATATAATATTAACCAGAGATACGGTGATGCTGAAAATGTGAATTCAGTTGGTTGTTTTTCCCACAGGTGTTGACAGTGTGTCTTCAGTGGGACAGGTGTCTGTACAGAGTGGAGGATCTGTCACCATCCCATGTTTCTATGAAGGCAGATATGAATCTAATGTGAAATACTGGTGTAGAGGGCATGACTGGAGTTCATGTACTTCCATAGTACGCACTGACTTTCCACGGAAGAAGGGTGAAGTGTCAATCAGAGATGATCCTGACCAGCGAGTCTTCACTGTGACTATGAACAACTTGCAAACTGGGGTCTCTGATTACTACTGGTGTTGTGTGGACATCAGCGGAGCTTCAGATGTTGGAGAAAAAGTTTACCTGTCAGTCACTGAGGGTAAGACGTCTGTACTGCAGACTGTAGCCAATGAGATGCTCAGTATGTAACACAGGGGTAGCCAATCATATCTGCAAAGGGCCGGTGTGTATGTGGGTTTTCACTGCAACTCCCTAATTAGATTACTAATTAGAGGACTGATTGGCTGAAAGAGTCCTCACACCTGGGTTTGAGCAGCTGACCTACAGGTTATCCAAAAAACCTGCATACACACCGGCCCTTTGCGGATAAGATTGGCTACCCCTGATGTAACATGTCATTCACTCAGAAAGGAAGGACATTAACACAAACACAGGAGAACATTCTTTCAGTATCAATATTTTAAATGTTTAATGGCTATAATTTCAAGTGTCTGGATAAATGTACAGGAAGATCAACTTGCATAACAGCATTACCTCTGAGGGAGACATTCCATAATACAGCCTGATGACCTCATCAGATACAGTTCCTGCTCTTTATCAAATACATGAGTGTCTGATCTGTATGTTACACCTGGCAGCTGTACAGAGGCCTCAGGATTCACATAATTCTAGTTTATGATACATTTGTATAATATGGCAAATATTACAGATCTGACTATTTTCTCAATCAGACACCCAGTCAGATGTCTTTCATAATACATCACAGACATCAGCTTACTGGAAACAGACATACAGCCAAATTCATTTTACAGCCATTTTTATGTGTACAAATCCAGTTTGGAAAACATAAAATGTAAGTTTTCACTGTCATACATTAAAAACTGTTCTTTTTTTCTCTTCCTTTTTTCACACATTTGTAGGGATCAATTGCTACTAAAGGTGTACAGGCTGGGTGATTGTCTGCAGGTAGTTTCTAACTGCAGCAAAGGCCAGTGTTACAGCTGCACTCTGTAATGTCTGATCCAGTTCTGCCATAAATGCATTATGATACATTAATAACATCATTTATCTCACCTGCCCACTATCAGTGCCCTGGGATG